GAGGTTGATAAGTTACCGTAATGCTAGAGTGCATATAGATTGCAATAATCTCATTAATATAGTGATAATTAATGAGTGGAAGCTAAATGACAGTGCACACCCGATATTTTTAATTAAATTGGTGATTTAAATTGCATAGATGGGCAGTTCTACCACAATTATGATTTCCATATTTTAAAATTTTCTGCTAATTATTAAATGTCACCTATCACAAATGGTAGTCAATACATGTATGTTTCATATAACATAAGTGGTTAAGGTGCACACTCAATATTTTTACTGTAATTAGTGACTTAATTAGTGTCTGCTAGCAAAAAGAGCAGTTCCACCACAATTATGGTTTCCATATTTTAAAATTGTCTGCTAATTATTAAATGTCACCTATCACAAATTGTAGTCCATACATGTATGTTTCATACCACATAGGTGGTTAAGGTGCACACTCAATATTTTAACTGTAATTTGTGATTTAATTAGTGTCTGCTAGCAAAAAGAGCAGTTCTACCATAATTATGATTTCCATATTTTAAAATTGTCTGCTAATTATTAAATGTCACCTATCACAAATGGTAGTCAATACATGTATGTTTCATACCACATAAGTGGTTAAAGTGCACACTCAATATTTTTACTGTAATTTGTGACTTAATTAATGTCTGCTAGCAAAAAGGGCAGTTCCACCACAATTATGATTTCCATATTTTAAAATTGTCTGCTAATTATTAAATGTCACCTATTACAAATTGTAGTCAATACATGTATGTTTCATACCAGATAAGTGGTTAAGGTGCACACTCAATATTTTTACTGTAATTTGTGACTTAATTAGTGTCTGCTAGCAAATAGATAGGGCAGTTCTACCATAATTATGATTTCCATATTTTAAAATTTTCTGCTAATTATTAAATGTCACCTATCACAAATGGTAGTCAATACATGTATGTTTCATATAACATAAGTGGTTAAGGTGCACACTCAATATTTTTACTGTAATTAGTGACTTAATTAGTGTCTGCTTGCAAAAAGAGCAGTTCCACCACAATTATGATTTCCATATTTTAAAATTGTCTGCTAATTATTAAATGTCACCTATCACAAATTGTTGTCAATACATGTATGTTCCATACCACATAGGTGGTTAAGGTGCACACTCAATATTTTAACTGTAATTTGTGATTTAATTAGTGTCTGCTAGCAAAAAGAGCAGTTCTACCATAATTATGATTTCCATATTTTAAAATTGTCTGCTAATTATTAAATGTCACCTATCACAAATTGTAGTCCATACATGTATGTTTCATACCACATAGGTGGTTAAGGTGCACACTCAATATTTTAACTGTAATTTGTGATTTAATTAGTGTCTGCTAGCAAAAAGAGCAGTTCTACCATAATTATGATTTCCATATTTTAAAATTGTCTGCTAATTATTAAATGTCACCTATCACAAATTGTAATCAATACATGTATGTTTCATACCATATAAGTCGATAAGGTGCACACTCAATATTTCCCAAAAAATATTGGGAATCGTGTTTATATACACGCACATAGAGATACACTTTCAGGGGGAGTGAGTACATTTGTTAGAATTTCTCTGTTTAAATGAATATTAGCCATTTACATTAATATATTGATGTCAAACTGTGATTACGTGATGCAAAATGATGTGATAAACCTTGGTTTCAAAGCATTATTATGCCTGATAGACTGTGGCTGCTAGTATGTCTGCTAGCTTCCACTGTCTGCTGGGAGTGTCTGCTAGCTTCAGCCGAGTCGCGTTGTGACTTTGGGGTTAAAGTTTGGGTCAAAGTTTTAGCTCCGTTGCGGCGCAACGGCGGTTAAATTTTTAGCTCCGTTGCGGCGCAACGGCGGTTAAATTTTTAGCTCCGTTGCGGCGCAACGGCGGTTTAATTTTTCCCTCCGTTGCGACGCAACGGCGGTTTACTTTTAAACAGGTTTTTTAAAACACTTAATTAAATAAGCTGATTCTATTTTTCTATTCTTTTATTTATTCATTTAATTTTCTATTCTTTCGTTTATTGTTTTATTTATTTTTCTATTCTTTTATTTTTTGTTTTATTATTTTATTTCTTCTTCTATTTTTTAATTTATCGTTTTATTCTTCAATTTAATCTTTTATTTCTTGTTCTAATTTTCAATTTTTTTTTTATTTATTGTTTTATTCTTTGATTTATTCTTTTATTTATTTATCTATTCTTTGATTTATTCTTTTATTTATTTATCTATTCTTTGATTTATTCTTTTATTTATTTATCTATTCTTTGATTTATTCTTTTATTTATTGGTGTTTTTCAATTTTGGCCCTAATGGCACACCATATATAGTGAGGTTGTCGACTTTCGAGGTGGTTAAATCGCGGTTAGAGATCTATATTATCAGCCACAACTGAAAAGATCTGTTCACACAGCTGTCGCAAACAATGTCAACATTTAAATCTTAACGCAATTACAAATTTATCGTAACGTAGGTTACAAAACATGTATAAATGTAACGCGTAATATGTCTCTTTATGTTTTATCTTTTTAATTATTATGTACATGGGGTTTACTAATAACTTTAGCATTCTAATATTTATTAAATTTAAATCGTGAATGATGGTTGTTTGGCTTACATTCTTCACCAATATTGAATATTTTTCAGAGCCCTCTAAAGTAGCGTGACTTATTGCACATAAAATAATCCACACTCATAAAATTTCAAACATAAAAAAAATATCACAAATAAAATGAAAAAAGTTGCATATAAAATACATTTTTAAACACAAATTTGGAATACAAATTTTTACTAATACTGCAACCTTTTGCTAGCCAGAGGAGAGATATGTATTTATACCTACATGAAAAATTAGTTTCAGCTTTGCCAAACATAATTAAATATGCCTTGTGACTTACATGATGTAACATCTTGTGATCATCCGAATAACTGTCAATTCAATCAAATTATATTTATATAAAGTGTAACCATGATTGCGCTAACAAACGGTAGATTGTTTTGGTCTTTTTTACTGTTAATATCAGTAACCATATTACTTTATATATTCTTATATCAGAGTAACACGAGTGTATTTACTGGTGAGTACGTAGTCAAATCTTTGCTTAGTCAGGTTTACTGCTCATTCACTTGTTATATTGAGAAACGAGTAGTCAACGTTGAGCATCGAACTAGCAATGGACATCCATAAAATAACCATGTTATTACTTTACCATGCGTTGCACACTCATAATATCATTTAATATTGCAGATGTGTTTTTTATTTCTGTGCCAACATCAAAAGAATCGAGAGAATCAGTTACACAAGAGGTGAGATTGGTGATTTTTCTAATTTGTGAGCGGAGCATGTACGATGAATACGATTCCAGAAATTTGTTGAATTATTGATTGAATGACGGGTAACATTATACCTAACGGCGGTTATGAACTATTTCGGCTGCCATCACTTCATATTATTGAAAATTGCGATTATTCACGTATTTCTTACTGTTATTGTGTTTAATGTCAGTGGCTCACGGCTCCAATTGTATTATGCGAATCCCAGGCACAGACAAATAAATAACTTTTGCAGGTGTCACCAATTACTTGATACATTCTTTTATATTAGCTGTATGACATATTTATTTCTCGACATTTGCGTTCTTTTTATATATCCCTGTGAAACTCGTCACTTTGTAAATAGGCATTGTAAATATGCAATTTCTATCGTTTCAATCTTTGGTTTTAGGGATCAGCTATTTCTTAAAAGTTCAAAAATGTGATACAACAGCTACCATTTTTAGTTTCAAACAAAACGAGTGTCGTGCATTTAGCATTTAACTCGAAATATATCACTGTAACAGAATCATGCCTAATAAATGCATATAATAAGAAGTAATTACGAAGATACCGAAAAGTATTATTATACATCCTTTCCTCCCAAGTACACATAATTGGAATGCCGAAATCCAAAAAGTTTAGAACAAATTTAGTTATTTAACTTCTTTATGTTGAGTCCGGTCAAACCCTTGTGGCTGCCATGTTTGTTTTTATTATTAGAGGACGCCCACGCGCGTAATCGCTCCATATTTGGAGTTCGCATTTCCTAATATGGGAGGATGAAAATACCGAGTGCAATACCGCAAAATTACGACACGCTGTAATTTTTGGCGTTACAGTGACATAATAATATATTTTATTTTTACAGAATTCAAAAGACGCATTCATGATATAAATGCGTGTTTTTTTTTTATATAAATTACATTATTTTTGAGCATAACTCAGGGTAATCGATCAGTATAAAACCTAGACTGGCAAAGTTGAGACTTCTTTTTTGTTTTACAAAAAATATATAATTAATTGTCAATTTAGCCTTTTTAACATGATCGCTATATCTAGCGTGACTGCGAAAAAAATCCCGACTGCGTTGGAGTGAAAACCGGAGCGGAATCACTCCGATGATTATGCTAATTAAAGGTTGTTGACTAGCATTAACAACGAATCGGAGTGCAGCTATATACGTCATATCTTATCTATGTCAATGTCATGACCTTTCACTTCTGAGGTCAAATGATTTTGAAAGATTAGTTATATACATTGGACATTTAAATCGACTTGTTTTCAGTAAACATGGATGAAAGTATCGCCTTTGTACTTAGAAAGTTAAAGTATCCATCTCTGCGATAGAATCAAATCAGCCTTTAAAGGGTCATGTTTACTTTCACACACCCCGTCATGAATAATCAATGACATCATAAATAATATCAGTCAAATGCCCACAGATGCGTCCAGTCGGGATTTCTTTAGCGGTCAGGTTAGTTTTCGCGATCACGCTAAAAGGATTAAAAGAACAATTATTTTTTGTAAAACAAAATCTGCCAGTCGATATAAAATCTTGTAAGGACCAACAAACAAGCGTTTGAACAAAAAATAAAACAAAACTATTTACGTATTTTCGCTGAAAAAAGCTACCTAATAAATACATATAATAAATTATATCTCCACAGAATTTCACAGACTTAGTGTACGATCCGCATGAAGCCAACAAGGAACGTCTGAAGACCCTTGCCCAAACATGCAAACAAACTGGAATCACTTACGATTTGAACAAAATATACAAAAAGGCAACATTTCATCTCCTTTATGAAGACACTCATAAATTTGTCTTTTGCCTGTTGCCTAAAGTTGGGACTACAACTTGGAAAACTGTTCTCGAGACCGGACTGGGAAAGACATTGCTAAGACTGTCATACATACCACAGCCTGTTGGATTAATCAAATTACATAAATACGTTAAATTAGTAATAGCCAGAGACCCACTTGAAAGACTTTTGTCAAGTTACTACAGTAAAATTCATTTTTCAGCTCACCCGGATATACGTCACATATTTGAACATAAATATGGGGAAAAGATAATGGCATTTAGAGAAGGATTTATTTGGGAAACGGGAATGACAGATCTTAATGTGACGTTTGAAGAATTTGCAAAGTTTGTTATTGCATGTGGCGCAGGCGCACGAATTAATTCGCTTAATCACCACTGGATACCTCAATACATATTGTCATATGTATGTCTGCATCAGTATGATTTCATTGGGCACTTTGATAAGTTAGCTTATGATGCACCATATGCAATTCAACTCATGGGACTAACAGATGTTGCACAATTCCCACCAATTCATCACTCACAAGGCAACACTCACTTCAGTGAATATTCTAGATTGCCCCTGCCATTGGTGAAGCAACTAGTTGAGTATTATCGTCTTGATTATCAATTCTTCAGCTTCGACACACCAAAATTAGATCATGAAGCTGAATAGAATAAGTAGAATGAATGTGCCATATTACTGAAACTAAGTAATAATATACACAGAATAGTTTTCAAAACGTAAAATGAAGATTTAAATGACAACATTTTGTTATGTCTTTATATTCAAAGATTCGTGTCACGAATGTCAAACATTAAATCATCTTTATGTTGCATGTCGTAGTGGTGGTGGTGTTTTATTTTTGTTTTATGGCGATATATAGGCAATGTTGTTTTGGGCGATAGATAATTGTTAAATATAGAGTGGCAGGATATTTGTAGTCAGTACTGGAGACGCAGACTTTGATAGAACCCGATCTGAACGTTCATATGTGACCAAATGTCGATGTCCGATCTTGTAGGTACCACAGTAAGCCATTAAATAATATTGCATCATGGGAGTTTGTGATCTACTAGTACTATGGAGGATGTCGTTTCGCCGCAGCTGGTAGACTGTCAATTATACCAATTTTCACGTGTCTACTAATCACGCGTTTGCAAGTAACGTTAGAACAATGCACTGTGTATTTTCATACAAATTAATGTATTGTGATCTACGGAATGTGCATCATAAAAATAATTCTATTGGCTAATTCCTACTGCAGTTAACGAGTGGGGAAACTCGCCAGTGAATGACATTCCCGATTTTGGTTCTGAAATGGATGCGCCTTCTAATTTATGTTCCTGGCTACGGATGTGTACTGCGGTGCAGGGGAATCCACCCGGACCACTCTCCTTCTACAAGTTATGAATATTAGACATATAAACTCTGTAATTGATTGGTATCGTGTTCGGCTGAGTGTGCAGCGTGTGCGTGTGCAGTGCTTCTCTCTGCGTTTTATAATTACCGTCATTGCCAACGTTAGCAGAGACTCGCTGCAAAGACCCATTTTCATCTAGTTTGAAGAAACTGTATCTAGGTAGGGCTGTGTCCGATCGCCAGTATATTAGTTGTCTGTTATGCATGTTGTCTCGTAGTTTTATGCATGCATGTAAGCTTCTGTGTTAGACATTACTTTCCTTGTAATAATATAACGTAATCCACTATCCCTTATAACGGGTTTGGCATTTCTCGCCCACTCCTTACCCATGTGGAAATATTACAATATTATTACTAAATTGTTATTCTAGTGTTATATTTTTGTGCAACAATACAACGTGTACCCCACTACCCCTTGTAACGGGTCAAGTATTACCTGCCCACCCTTACGTGTGTGCAATAGAGAACGTTGTTTAAACCTTATTCGTGTAGGTGTACTTATGTCGCATAACCATTATACAACAGTCTTAAATTTCTTCGAAATATTAAGAACCCAGTTCACATGGGTGTTGTTTGTTTGGGACAATTTGAAATCTTAGCTCAGCCAAACTAGCACCCTGTGACAATTCGATAAAGACAAATGTCATGAACACAGTATACAATTATAGTAGCTTTCTGAACGTCAGTGTGTTGCGCTCTATTATTGTTCTATACATGAATGATGTATAATGTTAATCTAATCATTAATTCTCATTGCTGCTCTCGCCATAACTTTCTTCGTCATCGCCTGACTCCATCGCCTCCATTGGATCATTACATTTGTATAAGGGATCTTTGATGCATACAGTTTACAAGTAAAAGCATATTCAACATATCAGTTCTCAAGTGCCACTCCAATCCCAGCTGACAGAATGCATCCCTGAATGTATCATTCCGAATGAGTCCAAAAGCCATGATCTCCCCTTGCTAGAGAACACACTGACAGTGCCACACCCAGTGAAGGCGTGCAAGCTGGCAAGGAATCGCACAAGATGTGACAATGAATTGCAGTGATCTTTGTGATGGAAAGGAGATGGTACTTATTTTTTGGTTGAGATGAGCAGGTGCAAGTCGAAGAAAACTGCATTCTTGAATACTATGCAAAGTATTAAGATGTCGGTATCATCAACAACAATCACAAGTGATTTGAATCCTGATTGTGTGACTTGTGATGTATAAAGGATTACCCGCATGTCTGCTTCCCCATGAGTGCATAAAAGCTCTGCAATTTCGGTCACTAGTTCTCTAGTAATCTTGATGCATTTTGAGCCAGTCGTCACATAGTTCCTTGTTGATCTGACAGTTTCCTTGTTGCCAGTCTTTGGCGAAATACTGTCTGAAACTTGGGAGGATGCTCGCCCCAGTTTTTCACACTGTCTGTTGGAATAATCATTAAGAAGGAAATACCCGTGTTGAACCATTGGTTTGTCCTTTCTGCATCTTTTATCTCTCTGTACACATAAAAGACGTCTATCCTCTCACTAGATGTAAGACACGGTTTTCAGAATTTCCTCAGATATCTCCCTAAATGTCATACCACTTCATTCTATCTGCAGGTATAACACCCTTCTTCAGATGTCTTCTGAGTTTGGCCATCAACGTTAGCTAGGTATGGGACAAAGCATACTATTGCAATAAATGAGTGGTATTCTGCCACTGCATTCTGCAGTTTATTGTCCACTTTGAGCACGACTTCCTTGCCTTTGGTGGTTTTCATCTTGACTTGCAGCATGCTGAATGTTTTCAAGTTCTGCCTTGGGATTGTTTCATAGAAGCAAGATCCACTTCTAAGTCATTCGTCAGTAAACTTCTTGGCAGCAGATACACCCACAACCTTTGCTATCAGCAGATCCTTCATCAGTTTATCATAAACTGTCCTACCTGTTGACACATTTATTCATTGCCAGGAAAGGGATGCCTTGTACTTGTACCAAAGATTGAACATCCCGTTCGTTTCGTGGAATCGGAAGATTTGCCCATGTAAGGATGTTTTGTTTTTGTTTCATCTTCGATTGTGACAGCTCTCGCATGTGCTGTAAGACCATGCTTCTGTATTCTACAGACATGTAGTACTTGACCAGCATAGACGGCTTGTCTTTGTTTACGGTTCTTTCAGTTTGGGATTCAGCAAAATGGGTTGCATAAACTGTGCTGAACAATGAAGCCACCATCCATCATGTGGCGTGGCGTGACATGACATGGCGTGGAATTTTCGCTGATAGCAAAACGAGCTAAATTAAAACAGAGTAAATAAGTAAAATTAACAATACAATTAATTGTTCCCTCATTTGAACATCTCTGAAACATTAAATCCGCTAACAATGAATATTTCTCCTAATGTACGCTGATTTTACGCACTGATAGCTGTGTGTATATTTGTATAATGGTAACAAACGTGAATGTTTTATAAAACTAGCTATAGTCTTTACCATGGCAACGATAAGAATTGCCTTATTATTTTACACGTCTAAAATCAAACAGCATCATGGATATTTCAGTTGAAATCTTTCACATTTCAGAGCACTGGATGATGTAATATTAAAAGCCGGAGCGAAAACAGTCCTGTCTCTGCTGTGTTAACTGTGTGTATTTAAAACTTATTGAATGCACACCTGATATATTCAATATCAAATACTCGTTACAGGGCCAAACGCCTCGTTTATCTTGGTCCGAGTTTTGCCCCGTTGCGGTGAGTTGTATCATATTGTACATTCATTTTTGTTTGATTTCTAAAGCGCCCTCACAGTTTACAAATACATCGCTGATACATACATCATTGTATATGTGATATAATCGCAGGGGCCCAGGAACTATAATCAACTGCAGGCAGTCCCTGTGAGAAATTGTCATCTAAGCGTTAGGCCGTCGCTGATTGGCTGCTGTGCTGGAATGCCAATTTTTAGTTTCAAATACCCCGGCTTAGTGTTCTAGGTTCTTCGCGTAATTAGGTGTTCGTATGCAAGGGATTTTTCCACACAAAAACGACGAATTCGGCCGAATTTTGTTATCGGTTGGCTTAATATAACCCCAACGTACCGTATTTTTGTGAAAGATTGGTATTTTTGTCCTGATTTGTAGGAATCTGAAAAACGCGTTTCACAACTTGTCTCTTATTTAGTTTTATGCGTCATTCAAGATGGCGGCCCCCATATAGTAAATATCGTATTTATTTTATTATCACGTGTGCGCCAGCTGACTGTGGGGGTGCTAAGGATTTCATGGTAAAAGTTATCAGTCACATCCGTTAAGGTAATTTCGTTTTACTTAACCGTAAATCAAAAATCACAATATTAAGAACATAACAGCCAAACGTAGTTTTAATCCATATTACAAATCTCTGACCCAGTAAAGGTGATTTTGCGCGTTTGTAGTGCCAGCCTGTGAGATACTTCCACGTGGTAATTTGGTACATAGTCATAACGGTACCTGTAAGTGGTGAGACGCGATGTTTTGCTTTTGGTAGCATTACGTAACTGATGTATATAATATATATACTGTTAGTAATTGATGTAAACCATGATACAATGGTGTTGATCGATTTTACAGGTTGCGGTTATTCTCTGTTGTCACATGGAAAACGCTATTCAGTTATTATTTGCTCCGCATTGGTGGTACAACATAGAAGTATTGTTTCTATTTCCATTTATTTTATTTTCCCCGTTTTTATGTTGTGCTATGTGACTACATACTGCAACCTAGCCATATACCTATCGTGTATAGTGTGATGTGTGTTCTTGGGAGGGTGTGTAGTCTGCTGAAAGACGTAAAGTTTCCGCGGTTCGCCAGTATAGCAGGAAACTATTGTCTTTACATGAAGTTAACATGATCCAATCATAAGCTTTATGGGACGCACGTGCAATGCAATAGTCAATCACGCTACGCTGGACTAGCCACGGTTCAGTTGTATCACGGTTATTTTTGTAGCAACTGTGGTTGTCCTTAAACGTATTCAGTATCTAATTTACTAGTACTAGTATTCGTTGACCTGGATAAAACCCGACACCCATCCCCTGGCGCACATAAGAAGACGACGGCTACAGGTTTCCAGACGAATTTTCCTCAAAGGGGGGTTCTATCTCTGTTTCTTTATGGGCGATCTGTGTGCTAAAAAGGGATATATATTAGTTTTTGTTTTTTGAGGATCATTTTTTTTTCAGTTTCGTTAAATTTGTTCATGTTTGATTTTAGTTAATTTATCGTTAGTTTCAGTAATG